ACATATAAATGTTCATAGCAGAATTATTTACAACAGACAAAAAGAAACAACTCCAATATTGATCAGCTGACATTTCCATAAAATGGCATATTATACAGCCATAGAAAGAATAAAGTACATAACAGGAATGAACCCTGGACACAAAGTGAGAGAAATCTGTAATAAAAGACTATGTATTAAGATTGCATTTGTATGAAATGTCTAAAAGAAGTAAATATACAGTCAGAAAATAAATAATTGATTACCTAGAAATAAAAATTTGGGAGAATGAGGGGTAACTTTTAAAGAACACAGGATTTATATTTTAGGTGATTAAAATGTTCTAAAATTGTTGCGATGGCTGCACAAATATGAATAATGAGTTATGTATTTTAAATGGACTACTTCTATGGTAAGTGAATTATATCTCAAAAAAGCTCTTACCAAAAACCTTTTCCGACCTACCCACCATTCCATTTGTTACTTCCTCTCAGAATATTTGTGAACAGTTTATACTATAGTGACCTGCACTTGTTTATTGTTTTGAAATCAAATTGTTTTAATCTCCCTTACTCACAAGGGTTTCTTCTACTTCTTTCATACTTCGCTTTACAACTGAATATACTAATGGATATAGAGTGAGCCCTCAAATAAGGTTTTTAATTCTTAAAATACAAAATATTAGAAATATTTACCAGGAAAATGTTAACCACACCACTCAAAAATCTTTCTTTGGGGAAATACAGACATATATAAAATTTCCCAGATTCCTAACCAAACTCTTCAGAAGGAAAATAAGTTTAGGTGAACCAGAAAGCTGAGGTCTCACTTCACAAGAATCCTAGGCAGTGCAAGAATAAATTGTGATTCAATTAGAATTAAAGTTGTTCAAAAATAAAATGCATTTAATGTATTAGAGATTCAACATTAGTACAGTTAAATAAAGTTGTAGTATTTTCATCATGAAACACAAGCACAAGTTAATAATTAAGCCTTTGCTGTTTACTTGATTTTGTTGTTCTTTCTGATTACAATAACTTTAAAATTACAAAAACAGCAACAGCAAACAATAAAACATAGTAAAGTCAACCTAAATGATATTTCTTTAAAGTATAAAATAATAACTATAATGCTCTATATATTACATATGCTTTCTCAACAGAAAAGGAAAATTCAAAAATTCGTTTTCCATAAAATTATACAGAAACTAAAATTCAAAGTCAAGTGATTTCAAAGTACAAAGAGAAACAACTCAAAACAGTCAAAATCCAGTATACCATAATGGCAATCAATAGCTGGATAAAGAAACTCATTAAAGATTATTAAATACAATTACAATGTTGTCTCAGCTATCTGTATCTTTAAATCGCTGGTTTCAGTTGTCACTCAAAATCCCCAAAGAAGAAAGCTCCTGTTCCCTCCTCCTCCTTCCTTCTCTGGCTCTACAACTTCCCTTTTCTCCCTTGTCCCAATTTTATTCTCTGAACAATCTTTAAGTATTATAATTCATTTTAGACATAATTTCATAAATATGTGCTACCATCTAAAATAACCTCATGAAAAGTCCCAAGCTGTCCACTATGCAGAGACTACATTCTCAACTTCCTTGCATTCAAATAAGACTCTGTGACAAATTCTCACCGATGAAATGTGGACAGATGTTTGTCACCTTAAGTATGGGGATTCTTAAGAAATGGTCTGTGGCTAATAGGCAGGGCTAGGAGGCCTTAGGGAATGGTGGGGCTATAAAATATAAGGAGTCAGGGTCCCTCAATTGCCAGAGGGAAGAAAGCCACAAGCCTGCTAACTGGGAGCACCTGCACTATTATGGGAGCAAAATATACACTTATATGTATTAATCCACTGAAATTCTGGAGGGTCTTTTTTACTCCAATTAGCATTATCCAAAGTAATACATGCACAAATTCTTAAGTATTTTAATTCCCTTTCATTAAAGACATTTTATAAGGAATATTTTGGAAAGATTGTTTAAAAACCCATTTAAGTAACATTTATTGTTAAAATCTAAACAATTTGCCGCTTTGATTTCGATGTAACACAATTCCTTTAGCTTAAACAATGACAGCATAAGCAGTTCCACTATTAAAATAAATTTCTCATGTCTTAATATATTAGTTCAGTATCATCTATTTTCATAATGCTGAGAAAATTTTCCTCAATTTTCCCTAATTAAAAAAATATGAAGTGCCTTAAATTTTACTAGATTCATAGTATCTAGTAAAAACCAAATACTTAGTTAACAGTAAAATTCTATTTTATTTTCTTAAGATATTAAAAATTACCATTTATACATTTTAAGGTAAGAATTCTTCCTTTAAATATAACTATATGTCAGTTATATTTGTTGTAAATACACACCCACCCATAACACACTCACTTAACAAAATCATGATATTTTGCATTCTAATAAAGTTGTCTCTGCTACCCTTCACAAAAATCCTTCACAAATTTATTAAAATTTTAATGCTTACTAAGTGGTTAGTTTTTTGTTTTGTTTTTTACTACTTCACACAGAGTAATAAAAATGTTAAATTATTAAAGTTGACAGAGGATTTTTGCCTTCATTCAGGAAAATATTCCAAGTTCTGTTTACCAGAATCAGTCAACATAAACTTAAAAAATTACATAGCAATATTTGCAGCACTTATACTATGTGGACCTATATAGATAAAGTAAACTCTAGTTCTTTGGTCCTTTTTAATGCTTGACTGTATTGGAACATGTATGTGCTACAAACAATTTAATTTTTTTCCCAGGGCTACATTAACAAGAACTAATAAAAAGAGTAATGAAACAAATCTATATCAGGACTTTAACTAGAGGATTTTATCTAGATAAGCTAACTATATACAAATGGCAAGATGGTGGAATAAAGTAAATCAGCAAATAATTATTCAAATATCATTTATACTTAATTCTGAAATGCACTGTACACCTACCTACAGACAGATCTCTCTTTAGAGGCCCATTTGAAAATACAAAAAAAAATTAAGACTATATAGTCTCTACAAACTAGAAAACTAGGTATTTTAATGAGTCTTATTTCTAGAAAGAATTCTAAGTGATATATATATATATATCTTATGCATATCAAAGGGCTCTGAAATGTTCTACTGCTTTGATTTTTAACTTAGTTACAAAATAGTGCTTTCACTAATTAAAAGAGTATTTGTACTTATGTTTTTCAAAGCCATGGTGAGGGACGACAGGTGAGGGAACTAATATTTAACTAAGCATCTACTATGTGTCAAACATATGTTACTCATTCTATCCTCAGACAATCTTACTATAAATGTATTATCTCCTTCTGGCAGATGAAAGAGATTTAAAGACATTAAAAGCTTTGCCTAAGGCAATGTCACAGTTGGAGTTCTGAAGTCTGTAAAACAAATCTGTTTCATTAAACTATGTGTGTTGTTTATCCAATAATGGCCACAGAAAACGGCTGTCCACCCCACTACATCGTCTCCAACCACCATTCTTACCCTCCCTTCCCAGTGAAGGGCATGGAGCATTTCTTTGTGAATCCAGGTCAGAAAGGACCAATCTCCGGCCATTATACAGAGCAAGCCTGCAAGAGTCGAACCTGTATCATGACTTTAAACGATTTTAGCTAGGTGAGCTAACTAGACACAAATGGCAAGAAGGTGGAGTAAAGTAAATCAGCAAATAATTACCCAAACACCATCTAAACTTAATTCTGAAATGCATGTGTACATCTACTGGCAGATCTCTCTTTAGCGGTGCACTTTATTTAAGACTACTCTCAAAATAGCTTTTCAGGAGAACACTAGAGCAACAGAGGCTTCATCTAGGTTTTGGGAGACTGTGAGGGAAAGTGTGTTTATGCACAACTAAGTTGACTGACAATGAGGACACCTCGAGGTAATAAGGCAAGTCTATCTCCTGAAAGGCGGTGGCATACTCCCAGTGTGCACAAACTGCTCGGCTAAACTGCCAGAACACAAATTCCTATCAAAGAGCCCGAGCTAAAACAGCCCGCGGAGGCGAGGATGACAGCTCCAGCCAGGAACTTCCTCTTCCTCAAGCTCGGCGCGTACCCGCCTTTCCCCCTAGGAGGCAGGATGAAACAATTTCAAATGCACAACATCCACCCAATCTCACCAGACCACAGAAGCTTCCATTTCTTTCCCTCGCCCCTCCAACAACACCTTTATCTTATGCATCCATGGTTTCTCAACCGTAAAAGTGTTTGCAACGAAACATGAAAATAGGGACTACTTGGTCCCTCCCTCCAGCTTCAGGGACCTCGGCCCCGCGGACACGGGGTTCCCGAGACGACTGCTTTGATTCACTCCCCCCCCCCCCCCCAGGTCCCACCGCCGTCGGCTGGGGAGGGAGCCTGCACTTCCGAAGCCGGAATATGCCTTCCCCGCTCCCCCATCCATCAGTCCGTGCCGCCTCGGACCGTCACCTGCCCGGGCCCGAGACGGCGCCGCCGGCCCGCGGGGCCCCAGGTCCCGGGAGGCGGGCGGGCGGGCGGGCGGGCGGGGAGGCGGTTAGGCCGCGCCGCAGGCCGGGACGCTTCCTGCCGCCGCAGCCGCGAGACCAGAGGCGCGGCCCCGACCCGCAGCCCTCCGCCCCGCACCGCCCGCCCGGGGGCCGCACACGTCCCGCCCGCCCGGGGGGAGGGGGGGCCGGCTCCCGCGGAGGCGCTCTCACCTGCGAGGCCCCCCAAGCCTGGGCCACGAAGCGGGGAGGGCCACGCCACTCGAGGGTCCCGGACTCACGGGCTCCCCAGCCTCCCGGGCCCGGAGCGCCTCTCCCCCGCCCCCCCGACACACACACACACACACACACACACACACACACACTCACACCCGGAACCTTTGACAGACCCGGGTCAGCCCGACACACACACACACACACACACACACACACACACACACACTCCCGGCGGCGGCTCCTCGAGCCGCCCCCCGCCCGCCCAAGTCCCCGCTCGCATCCACAAACGACACACACGGGAGCCTTCCTCCCACCTCATCTCCCCGGGGACGCGCGCCTCTTCCCGGCACTCGGGATCCTACTCGGAGGCGCACACACACTCGACCAAGGCCTCCCCTGCTGCCTCGGGCCTCCCAGGAGGAGCCACAGCAGCCATTTGCCCGCGGGCGGCCGGGGAAACGCACCCGCGCGCGCGCGCGCCCGGGGCCCCCACGGAGCTTCCCCCCCGAGCCGGCCGCGGCCGCCGCAGACGCAAACACCGACACCCGCGGGCGGGCCTCGCGCCCGCCCGCCCGTCCGCCCGCCCCGAAGGGAAGTTGCTGCGAGGCCGGCGGGGCCTGGGCCAAGCTCGCGGGGCGCGAGGCCTGGGGGGCCCCCGGGGCGGGGGAAATGGGGGAGCCCTGCGCCCCCTCCTCACCTGCATTCAGCGCGCCGGGGTCCGGGCGGCGGCGACGGCGGCGGCGGCGGGGCGGCTGGTGCTGGTGCTGCGGCGGCGGGGGCGGCGGCGGCGGCGGTGGCGGCGGGGCTGAGGGCAGCAAAGACATGCAGGCAGCCCGCCGGGGGGGAAGAGGCACCGGCCGGAGGGGACGCGGGGCGGGCGGGCCGGGCCGGGCCGGGCCGCCGGAGGAACGGCCGAGGCGGCGGCGGGGAGGAGGGCGGCTGGAAGGAAGCGAGGAGACGGACGGACGGAGGTGGGGGGGGGGGGAGGGGGCCGGGGAAGGAAGGGACGAGGCCGCGCTGCCCCGGCTTCGGGGACGGTGACCCTGGCCCACAGGAGAGAGAGGTCCCGCGGCCGCCGCCGCCGCCGAGAAGGCCCCTCGCCGGAGGACGCTGCGCCCCCGCGGCCGCCGGAGCCGCGGCTCCGCTACTGCGAGCGCCGCGCGGAGCCTGGCCTTGGCCTTGGCCTCCCGGCGCCCGGGCTGCCGCCGCTGCGGAGGTGGCTGTCGCGCTCGCTGCTGCCGCCGCTGGGGCCGAGGCTGCGACTCAGAAACGCCAGCTTTTTCTTTCCGGTGCCTTCGCTCGCGCTCACACACACACACACGTTCACACCCCCGGGGTCGGGGAGAGGCGTCCGCGCGAGGTCGGTATTGAGATTAACAACAAGGTGCAGAGAGTGCGAGGAGAGGAAAGGTTGATTGACGTGGAGGGGCTGGCGGGAGTCCGTCACTCCCCGGAGCCCTGGGGTGGGGTGAGGGGAAGGGGCGGGGCTCCGCGGCCTGGCCCCGCCTCCCGGAGCCTGCGCGCATGCGCGCGCCGCGGCCAGGGATTGGGGGGGGGGGTTGTTTCTCGCCTGTTTTCTCCTTTACTCTTGCTGTTCTCCTTATTCTCTTTTCTTGGCTTGAGTGTCGAGCAGAGCTGGAAAGACTGGCAGGGTATCAAAAGCCCACATCCATAATGCGTAGGGGGGAGGGGGGAGAGAGACTGGCGAGCCCCGTGGTCACGCGTGGACTCGGCGGTGTTTACTGCTTGCTCGCTCGCCAAGAGGCTGACAGCAAAGCTGAGCGCTGGTCTGGGTGGCTGAGATGCCAGGTGAGGTGAAGGGACCGAAGGAGATGTTTCCTGGCATCTTTGTGGGTGTGGTTGTGGTTGTTTTCTTTCTTTTCTTTTTTTTTTTTTTTTTAACGTGTAATATCTGTAGGCGGCACAGCGAAATGTAAATAAAAGAACCCGTGACTGCGATCATCACGTCCTATAATGTATCCTGATTTTCCCTTCTCGCGATAGGATCACATTTCTTCGGCTGCAGAATGAAAACATCAAAATGCGAAATGGAAATATTAATGTTTACTTGATGAATATGACCTTGACTTTTTAGTGCCTCAGGTTTAATTTTATTTTTGTGGGTCTGCTTCATTCAGCTGTTGCCACCAGCAGTCCAAAACCAAATCATACCAGCTCTGGAGGCAGAGAGAATACTGCTGTTGCAATTTTGCAATCTCTTTCTCAATGCATGCTCCAGGTCACGGGTATATTAGCAGTGTTCAGTGTTGTTTTTCCTACAGGGTTGTTGTTTAGCACACTAAGCACGTTATGTAGGGTTGCAATTAATCTTAGACCCTATTACTGGATGCAAAACGTTCTCATCTCCTGGGGAAAATGGTGCGTTAAAAATGCAAATCATCATTTAGACAGAACTGATCAGCTATTAAAAGAGCTCACCATGGCAGAAGAGCAACTGCACCACTTTCATCTTTGTTACCAGGAAGTGTGAGTGAATGAGTGAAGAAGCCCCTTCAGGGCATAGAAGACCTCAGGCTGTTTTGTTTTCCACCTGTGTTGTTTCCATTTCTCTCCCTAGCAACACCACCCCCATACTGTGTAATAGGCATCAAAATGGCTTTAATCCTGGAAGAAGTCCCCACTTGTTCCCTCCCAACAATTTTAAGTCTAGGCTGACATATTATGAATAATTATCTTTGGCTTTGTAAGCAACAAAGCCAAACAAGTCACTTCAGGAACCCAGAGTAGTAAACCCGTCTCAATGGCATCTTGCCACAGCATTTCTCCTTGGCACACAAACACGCTTTCCCAAGGAGGAACACTACCAGATGTTGAAGAAAAGAGGGAAATAAACCTGGAAAATATGAATCAGATGATGGGATATTCTCACAGATTTAAGCTTCTTTGAATACCTATAACTATATAGATCCCTAGCTGTTCATTCATATACAATAAACAAACATCCAGACATGCATTGTGTTGAGCATCAGAGATTCAAAGATAAGGATATGTAGTCCCTATTCTTAAGTAGCTCATAGTCATAGGGGAAGCAGACACATAAACAGGAAATTCTCACAGGACAAACCTGAGATGAAAGTATGAAAAGTAACACAAAATTAATAGTTACAACAATGCCCGGGAAAATAAAGAGTGAGGGCACTATCATTTTCACTTGAGCCATAGGATACCTGCCACTTTTATATCAGTGGTGACTGTGGTGGGGAAAGGGGGAGAGCCTTTGTGGATGTTAAGCACTAATAAATGGTGAGGCTTGCTGGTCCAGAAGCTTAGGTATATATAGGGGATGTTCATTGTTGATCTTTAAGTTTTAAATACTAAATGAGTCACAATTCATTGACTAATTGTACTTGTGACATTCAGAGTTAAGAAGATTTTATTATAAAAAGGTAAATTGAATGTAGATTAAATTTAAATAATCTCTACTAGAGGATGTTCTCTATGCAATACATAGCAAATGAATTGACTCACTAAAAACAAAAGGAAAGCAATACTTTTACATATTATAAATATATCACATCTACAATGAGATTAAGGTTAGAGAAATAATAATTTTCAAATAGTTTTTGGCACTGTGCAAATGCTGAGAAATTAAATCTTCACTGATATAAAAACAAAATCTCTCTCCTAAGACTCAATTCAAAAGGCATTCCAACGAAAGAGTAACATTTAAATTATTTTTTATAAAAGCAGCTTTATAATAGAAAATCAACATTTGCTTTTCATATTTCATATGAATTTTTTATGTCTGTCAGATATTGTAATTTTTTAGTTTAAAAGTAAAAAATATATCTCTTTAAAGAAATTCTTTATCCAAGTGAAAATTTCTGGCTTAATAAGACCTTTTTGACCAAATTGGTTTAATAGCACTGCTGTGTAGGTACAATTTGTTCTGAAACAACACTTATATTTGTTTGTATTATTACAGAACTGGTTGATTCCTTCTGAATTTTTAAAAAAAGTACTTCATGTTCTAGTGACCTGTGCATTTTCCAAATTAGCATTTAATATTTGATCTGAGTAAATCTGACCTCTATGTTTTTGTCTGTTGGTAGCACAGGTAGTTGGATCTATAAGTTTGCTTAAAATGATGTTCCTTTGTTTTCTGAAATTCCTTTGAAAAAACATGCTCAAAAAGCAAAGATTTTAAAAACTTTTAAGAACATTATTACTATTTGATAATCAAATTTGATTTTATTGCTTTCAATATACACTTTTATATTAATAACTACATAGCTTTATAATAAAAGTGTCACATTTAAATTATTCAGTAAAGTATAATTAATAAAATAATTAAATGTGTAATTTACATGATAGTCAGTAGTACAATCTTACATAAGTATTAATCAAAATGATCTTGAATTTTTATATCCCAGATTTCCTGACAAGGCTTCCAAATTATATTCTACCTTTTACTGAACTAAACTCCTCTCTAGCTTCTCATCTTTTACTCATATTATTCCTCTTCCTCTCTCTCCCTATAGCCCCATTACTTTACCTCTAATTTTTTGAGGTACCATTTTTCATAGGTATATTTATCCAAGAAAGGTGGCTTTACTCATCTCCTCTGTTCCTTTGCAGGTCCATAAACTCTCTCCATAAACTTTCCCGTTGTTCCTTTCCCTAGAATGACTGAGAGTGACATCCATCAATGACCATCTCACTATCATAGCCAAATATGAACATTTTCCCAACAATATTAATAGTGTGCCATATGATATATTAGTCCTAGATAAAAATGGTTAAGTAGGCCAAGTTCATCTTGGTGCCCTGCTGCCTACTCTTTCTGTACTCTCTGTCTCAAGTCTCTTGATCCCTGAATATTCAGAATCTCCACCCCAACTCCATCAGCATCAGTACCATCCTTTCTAGTACTTCCCTTATTCCAGAATGTTTCTTCTAAGTTAACGCACCATCACCATAAATAAATATCTAGGGCTTCAATTTGTCAAGGGCTTGCAGGCATCTGGCATACTATCCATTCAATAAAATCAATTATTTTAATGCTATAACCCAAGGGTCCTCATAGTGACTTCAAAAGGTATGGTTCAGAAGCCATCTAGTTTACACCGAGGGGACCAGATAGGTGAGAAAGTCTCTGCTTTATGTTTACATATTGACCATCTTTGTCTGCCTGGTAATTTTCATTTTTCTGTAAACAGTGCTCCTTTTCTTTGGGGAAACTATTTCTGCCTAACTATAAACATGTGATTCTAAGGCCCACTACAGCTCAAGAGAGTCTCCCAAATTCTTGGCTGCAGCATTGGCGATATGACTCAAGCCACTGCAAGAAGAGTTCTC